AGTTTGGTGTTTGTTCTGAAGCCTTTTTGACCTCCATTGACGTAGTAGGCACCTGCAGTTTGACACTCACAGCCATGGCCGAGCAGATTGTCATTCATAGGGACGACATTGTGATGGAAGGATTCATGGTGAAGCAGTCGAAGTTCATGAAGGAGTGGAGGCAACGTTGGTTTGTTCTCACGCCGCAGTACCTTTGCAGCTTCAAGAATCAAGGTGAATACAGGAACCCAACTGAGTTCATTCGACTCGGGGACTGCCAAACTGTGAAGAGTGCCGAGGACATCTCCGGCAAGGAGAACTCGATTTGTGTTCAAACTCCGGAACGTGCATTTCTTTTGATTGCACGGACTCCAGAAGAGAAGGAACAGTGGATTTCCCGAATTGGACGACAGATGGTTCGCCGCGCTGTGCTTGTGGATGATGAATTCGAGTGAATTGCCCTAACTGCATGGAAGAGGTATTAAGGCGTTGCATGTTTTGTGGCATTTGCTACTTGTTGCCTAAGCCAGTTGCCGAGGGGCAGCGGACTTTTCATTGGGCACCTTTTTGCCAGGCCAGGGCTGGCTTAGACTAAGTCTCCAGCTTTAGCAGTTTGTCCGGCCATGTTGCAAATTTCGGCCAACAAGTTGAGAATAAGTTGAGAAACATTCTGATTCAAAAGCAAGAGTATCAGTAGCAGCTGTTGACCGCACCAACCTCATGGGATGTTGCCGGCAACGCTTGATAGTGACTTGCAAAATGTGTGTTTGCTAGAGATGGTGTCAGAAACTGTCAGAGTCTAAATATGTTTGAAATCGTCATTGATGATGCATTTGGCCCGGCAATGCTATTGTATGCGTTGCTTGGCCACATCTCATGCAGAACCGAGTTTGGTGTTTGTTCTGAAGCCTTTTTGACCTCCATTGACGTAGTAGGCACCTGCAGTTTGACACTCACAGCCATGGCCGAGCAGATTGTCATTCATAGGGACGACATTGTGATGGAAGGATTCATGGTGAAGCAGTCGAAGTTCATGAAGGAGTGGAGGCAACGTTGGTTTGTTCTCACGCCGCAGTACCTTTGCAGCTTCAAGAATCAAGGTGAATACAGGAACCCAACTGAGTTCATTCGACTCGGGGACTGCCAAACTGTGAAGAGTGCCGAGGACATCTCCGGCAAGGAGAACTCGATTTGTGTTCAAACTCCGGAACGTGCATTTCTTTTGATTGCACGGACTCCAGAAGAGAAGGAACAGTGGATTTCCCGAATTGGACGACAGATGGTTCGCCGCGCTGTGCTTGTGGATGATGAATTCGAGTGAATTGCCCTAACTGCATGGAAGAGGTATTAAGGCGTTGCATGTTTTGTGGCATTTGCT